CTCAGCCTACTGGGACAGGAAGGACTGCCCGTGGCAGAAACAGGCATGGTTCCCAGATAAACTGGAGCCCATGCCAGCTGTCTCTTTCTTTAGAAATACACTTGCACATCCATTATCAATGGTCAGAGGTCACACCGTACTAAAGCCCTTCCCTTTCCAATGTTCATCTTAAAAAATGGACACTTACCACATTTTGGATAAGCAACTATGAGCACATCATCCTTTCTGGCTTCCAGGGCTTCCAGCGCTTCAAAGGTCTCAGGACTGCAAAGGCCTCCAGGATACAGCACTCCTTTGAAAGTCATCAGCAGTTCATCATTCTCCTTCTCTTTACTGGCAGCAAGAATCCCATCAAAATATTGAGCAATCGCGCTCCTTTGGTTGGCCATTGTGGACTCTTGCTGCTGCTGCCTCTGTCTTTTCAGGCTCCCTTTTAAAGGAAGGAGAAAGGGCCACGCTACAGCTAGCGGGTGAAAGGGGAGCCCAGCCCTCGCTCTGCCTCTCTTGCTCAAGAAAGGATATTGCCGAAAAACAACCCTGCATCACGCAAGCTCACGTGGCAAACTTTGATTTACGCTCAGACTTGTAAACGTATCTGGTTTCAACAACTTTGGGGAATTAAGAGTTACTTAACCTTTTTCCTGGCTGGGCGGTCCTTTTGCTGAGGGGGGAAAAAATCAACTAGAGACTGTCATGCTAGAGGCCCTGCAGGGTTGAAAAGAACAGACTGGAATCATCTCAGTGCAGCTCCTTACTGCACGATGAACGACAGGGATAGACATCTATGACGTTTCCACTCCTATTGCATCTTTGTAACACTAACTTTTGAAATCATAAGAATCTGGGCAGGTTTCATTTGCTTCAGAACTAGGGAGAATAATAGACTCACACATTTTTAGTTTGCATGTTTATTGATAGTCTGACTTTCTCACCGAGGCTCAAGGTGGATAACAAAATTCAACCACTGCAAGAGGAATAGTATAAGACACTGTAATAAAATATGGTTACAAAATTAAGAAAACATTGCAATAAAAGCAGCACAAGACATAAGAAATACAAACACATGTTCATAGATCCAGGTGGGCAGCTTGTTATTCCTGATTCTGATAAATATCTTCATTATGTTGTATGCTAATTTACAGCTCACCCTCTACCTATATGTATGGACTGGTAACTTCCATTGCAACGTATCTGAAAAAGTATGCATGCACACGAGAGCTCATACCTTGAATAAAACTTTGTTGGTCTTAAAGGTGCCAAGGGACTCAAACTTTGTTCTTCAAACACATGTTCAAAGCACTTCACATGTCTTGCTGCAATGCTTAGAACAGCATTGTAAAGTAGGCTAGTATCATATAGAAGAAGAAGAGATTAGATTTATACTCCACCCTTTACTCAAAGTCTTAGGGTGGTTTACAATCTCCTTTCACTTCCCCTCCCCACAACAGACACTCTGTGAGGTAGGTGGGGCTGAGAGAGCTCTTTTGAGGACTGCCCTTGAGAGAACAGCTCTGAGAGAACTTGTGACTGACCCAAGGTCACACCAGCAGCTGCATAAGGATTGGGGAATCAAACCTGGTTCTCCCAGATTAGAGTCCATGCTCCTAACCACTACACCAAACTGGCTCTCTAATTCTTATGGATGGCCCACTGTGCAGATCAAAAATCCCCAGGGAGGGGCCCCTCAAAGGCTAGAATACACCCTCGTAGAAACTGGGATAACACCTCAGGGTTTGCCAAAAATTGTTTTGTTTTTAATGTGGGGGAAACTTCCCTCAAAAATAATGTAATGTCTGTTTGTGTGTGCCATTGCCATGAGAAACAAATTTTTTTTGAAAATCTGACTCCTGGGATTATGTTTGAGAAAATGTAATTGTTCCCTCCCTGTCAGCACCATTAGAAATGGCATAATATTCTTGTATATTAGAATCCCTAAGAAACCAATATTTCCTTTTGCAATATTCCAGAAGCACCTGAAATGCCCCATATTATTACTCTGAAATGCTCAATTTAAAGCAGATTGGTATACTGGAAAGCAACATTTTGGTGGTTAACTGGCAAAGGTGAACAACCTGAAACTGAATCCTGACAAAATGGCTCAGTTCAAGGTACCTGTTTGTTTGTTTGTTGCTTATTTATTTAGTCATAACTCACCTGAAGGGTCTCACGGCTACTTAAAACATTAAAACCAGTAAGATAAAACAACATAAATAAAAAAACAAATATAAATTATTAACATGAAAATATTAAATTATTAAAATATGTGGATACCATACCACTATTAAAACAGCCCAAACATGTGGTTACCCTCCAAAGGCCAACTTAAACAATTCAGCCTTGCATACCCTGCGGAAACTAAACAAGGGCACAGGTGTCATCCAAGAGTGCATTCCACAGGGTAGGGGCCACAACTGATAAGGCCCTTTCCCTCGTGGCAGTTAACTGAGCCACCCTGGGGCCAGGCACCTGCAGGGAGCGCAAGCGGTTGTAAAGGCAGAGGCAGTCCCATAGGTATGAGGGTCTTAGACTGTTAAGGGCTTTAAAGGTTAACACCAACACCTTGAATTGGATCCAGATACTAATTGGTAGCCAGTGCCGCTGTTGCAGAATTGGAGTAATATGAGCTGACCCTGATGTTCCAGACAGCAACCTGGCAGATGCATTCTGGACCACAGGCAGTTTCTGAAGCGTTTTCCAGGGTAGCCCTATGTAGAGCGTATTGCAGTAGTCCAATCTGGAGGTGACCATTACATGGATTAATGTGACAAGGTCTTACCCAGACAAATAAGGAACCAGCTAGCAAGCCTGGTGTATGTGAAAAAATGCCAACCATGCTACCATGAACACTTGTTTATTCAATGATAGTGTAGAATCCACTCTTTACAGAGTCTACAGCTATCAGAGGCTCTTTACAGAGTCTACAGCTGTCAGATGGACACCATCAAGTCTTGGGAGTAACTCTCCAGCTAGCATCTCAGTCCCAGCTACATGACCTCCATCTTGGATGGATTCAACTTCAGCCAGCTCCCCCTTAACCATTGGACTACCACATCTGTAGCAAGAAGTGCTGAATATCATCAGCATATTGATGGCACCCAACTCCAAACCTCCTGACAATCTCGGCAAGAGGGTACATATATATGTTAAATAATAACAGAGAGAGGATCAAACCCTGTGGGACCCCACAATTCAGGTCTTCTTGAGAGGACCTCTCTCAACTCTCTGAGAGCATCCGTAGAAGAACAAGGAGAACCAACTAAGGGCAATGCCCCTTACTGCCAGGGAAGCAGGGCAATCAATCAGGGCCAAATGGTCAACTGTATCAAAGGCAGCCGGCAGGGCTCTTTTTGTAGCAGGTACTCATTTGCATATTAAGCGACACCCCCCTAATGTAGCCAATCCTCCAAGAGCTTACAGTAGCTCCTGTAAGAAGAGCTCTGTAAGCTCTTGGAGGATTGGCTACATTAGGGGTGTGTGGCCTAATATGCAAAGGAGTTCCTGCTACAAAAAGAGTCCTGGCAGGTCCGTAGCTACACTGGGGCACCTCGGGGCCCGGCCCCCTGACTTACCGCCATGGCCCCTTGAATTCCCATCCAGCCCGGGTGCTCCTTTGGGGGTGCAGGAGTGTGTGTGGGGTGCTCCCTGACTTATTTAAAGGCCCCCCGAATTAAAAAGTCCTGGCTACGGGCCTGATCAAAGGCCACTTATAGATCCAGAAGGATGAACAGGGCTGGCATGTCTTTATCCAGATGTAAACAGAAATCATCAACCAAAGTGACCAGCGCTGTCCCAGTCCCAAAGCCAGGCCTGAAGCCCAATCAAAAAGGGTCCAGGAAAACCTGAAGCTGCTTGGTTACTGCTCACTCAGTTACCTTTCCCAGAAAAGGTAGATCAGACACTGTGTGGTCATTGGCTAGCTCCTTTTTATCTAAGGAGGGTTTCTTTAGCACAGACCTAACAATTGCCTCTTTAAGGAAGATGGGGAAACAGCCCTGTGACAGAGATGAATTAATAATCTGTCTCAAAGGGCCACTTGCCACTTTGGGGCATGAATTTACCAGCCATGAGGGACAAGGATCCGAGAAGCAGGTAGCTGGCTTCACAGCTGTCAGGATTCTGCCAACATCCACAAAGGTGAGTAAGCCAAAAAAGTCCAAAATATAACCACATGATGCAAGCAGAGCCCCCATCCCACTGCTGTTACCAAATTCAGCAACCAACTCTAGGTGGAACTCAGAGACTTTAACCACAAAAAAGTTTGCAAGTGATTTAAAGCTGAGAACCAAATCAGGGTGGTCAGTTGTCGAACCAATCTGAATAACTGAGCTGATTGGATGCAATGGAAGCCAATGGAGTACCTACAAAGCCATTTTTGGGCTGCCAATGCCTCACTCAGATAGGGAAGAGATGGAGGAAGACAACCCCAGTCCCCAGATGCTTCAGGAAGACCCGGCAGACAAGGTACCGTCTCCATCAGGTGCAGAGGGGGAGTCTCAGGCTGAAGTCAGTGCACTGTGCCCTCAGTCCTGCAGTCCAGGATCTGAAATTGAAGCAGAAGCCACCAGCCTCACCCCTGAGATTGCCAGAGCCCTAGGAATGCTGGAGAAGATGGGTCTGGAGGAAAGCATGGGAGCTGTGCTGTACTGTGTGGTTGGCAACCTAGCACTGATCAGCCTCTGCCTGTGAGTTGGAGTCACTATAGGATCAGGGCTGATAGCCCTGTAAGTTGTTCAGCCATTGATGTGTTGCCTCTTTCACGCAGGAGAGGAGATTCATGGCCATGCCCATATGACAGCCTTGTGTGCTCAGCAGGGTTTTCCTGATAGCAGCAGCCAGAAAAGGAGGAGCCAGTGTGAAAGCAGCTTGTTCACAACTTTTCTGGGTCTTCTGTTGGTCTGTGCTCTAGACCTGTGTGGTTAACCTTCTTGACCATAACCTGGTTTGTGCTCTTTGGATTTGCCCTCCTGAGCTGATGCTTTGACCCTGGACTATGTTTGAACCATGCTTACTGTCTCTTGTCCCAAGTGCCTGCCTGAACCTGGACAGGGCATTTCATACCAACTGAAGAACTAGCACTGAGCTCATCCCAATCAGGAACATCACGGTGGACTTGGCAGCCTGTCCTTGTTCTTTGAAAACTGAAACTACATTGCATTAGTTGAACCGCTGTCAGTGGTGCAGGGGGGAAATTCCCTATTGTTTTGGGTTGCCCCCTTTTCCACATGTGTTTTATTCCCCCAGGCACTACTAGAGAAAGCAAAACACATTGGAGGGGGAAAAAACGTGAAGCAATAGGGACAAACGAGTGACAAAAATGACAGTGTGGAAGGTTAGATGTGAAGCACAAAAGATCCAGTTTGGGGTCATTTTTGCCTGAAGTGAGAAATTGCTCAGGAATGTATTTATTTCCTTTATTTGTTGTTGTTCAGTCGCACAGTTGAGTCCGACTCTTCACGTTGCATACATT